GGTCAGGCAGGAGGAGGGCATGGGTGTGAGGAGTACCTCATGTTTTCCAGGCTCGTATTGAGGAACTGGAGGAGGAAATTGAGGCTGAACGTGCCTCTCGGGCAAAAGCTGAGAAGCATCGGGCTGACCTGTCGAGAGAGCTAGAGGAGATCAGTGAGCGCCTGGAAGAAGCAGGAGGGGCTACTGCAGCTCAGATTGAGATGAACAAGAAGCGTGAGGCAGAATTTCAGAAGATGCGTCGTGACCTCGAAGAGGCCACACTGCAGCACGAAGCCACGGCTGCCACGCTGCGGAAGAAGCATGCGGACAGCACGGCTGAGCTTGGGGAGCAGATCGACAACCTGCAACGAGTGAAGCAGAAGCTGGAGAAGGAGAAGAGTGAGCTGAAGATGGAGATTGATGACTTGGCCAGTAACATGGAGTCTGTCTCCAAAGCCAAGGTATTGAAGAATATACTGAAAACAACTTGAAAGTAAATCATGTTAAAATATATATTTTTTAAATATGGTCATGTTACAATATGTCTTTGTCTCTGTATGGAACTTTATTTCTAATCTTCTAATGCCAATAAGCAGTATATAGCTTCCACGACTGTTCACATTTTTCTGGTGAGAATCATGCTATTCAGAATAAGGAGATGTTCAGGTGCTAGTCTTTCATCCTCTATGATCTCCACAGGCAAATCTGGAGAAGACGTGCCGCACACTGGAAGACCAGCTGAGTGAGATTAAGACAAAGGAAGAGGAGCATCAGCGCATAATCAATGACCTCAGTGCTCATAGAGCTCGTCTGCAGACAGAATCAGGTAAGACAGCCTCCTCTGTGCTGTGAAATGGGAGAGCATCCTAAAACAGTTCAGTTGGCTCACAAATGACAATGGAAATACTTCCTTTCTGTGTGCTTTCCTAGGGGAATATTCACGCCAAGTGGAGGAGAAAGATGCTCTGATTTCTCAGCTCTCAAGAGGCAAGCAGGCTTTCACCCAACAGATTGAGGAACTCAAGAGGCACTTAGAGGAAGAGATAAAGGTGATGACTTTTTCTACAGCTGGCCACTGAAAACACTCTTAACTTCACAATGCCTAGTGGGGACAGGGTCTGCTTAGTGCAAGCCATACTGGGAGAAGATTTTTATTTCTGTGGGGTTAGTGGATTTTTTCCTCCAGGCTTACATCTGTTCTTCATTGCAAACACCTGCACCCTTCCAGAGGTCATGTTCACAGTCTTAAATTAATTAATTGGAAGGGATTTCCCAGGATATTACCATTTCTGTTCCAATCCCCCTCTCAATCCAGGCCAAGAATGCTCTGGCCCATGCCTTGCAGTCTGCTCGCCATGACTGTGACTTGCTGCGGGAACAATATGAGGAGGAACAGGAAGCCAAGGGGGAGCTGCAGCGTGCCCTGTCCAAGGCCAACAGTGAAGTCGCCCAGTGGAGAACCAAATATGAAACGGATGCTATTCAGCGCACAGAGGAGTTGGAGGAGGCCAAGTATGTGGGGAAATTAGGGAAGACAAAAAAAGGGGAGACTAACAAGGTAAATTTGAAGACTCAACTGTGATATATTCATAAAAGGTTAAAACTGTGCTTTAAGGCAGGGTAAAGGCTAAGGTAAAGTGTATCCTCCAAAGGGTGTAGTTTAGGAAATGTAGAGGAAAATACTCTCCTGATCCAGAGAACTGTACAGAAAATTTGTGGATAGTAGACACAGAGGGCACAATGGTTGTTCAAGCCTGGGAATTAGAAAAGGGAAAACAATGACAGGCTGGGGGAGGAATTGCACTGTCTGTGCATAGGATCCATACTCAATGAAGTGGTAAAACGTCCTGTTGTGAAAAGCCCATCAGCCACATGCCATAACCTCTCCTTAGCTCTCAAATGATGAACTGTGCTTATCTCCTCCCAGGAAGAAGCTAGCACAGCGCCTGCAGGATGCAGAGGAACACGTCGAAGCTGTCAATGCCAAATGTGCTTCCCTGGAAAAGACAAAGCAGAGGCTGCAGAATGAAGTGGAAGACCTGATGATTGATGTGGAGCGATCCAATGCTGCCTGTGCAGCTCTGGATAAGAAGCAGAAGAACTTTGACAAGGTCTTTTGGCTGCAGGCCTGGGATTCCTGAGCAGGGCATGCCCTCCTGATGGCTACATCCATACTGAGGCCTCATTTGTCTTCAGATCCTGGCAGAGTGGAAGCAGAAGTATGAGGAAATGCAGGCTGAGCTGGAAGCGTCCCAGAAGGAGTCTCGCTCTCTCAGCACGGAGCTGTTCAAGATGAAGAATGCCTATGAGGAGTCCTTGGACCACCTGGAAACGCTGAAGCGTGAGAACAAGAACTTGCAGCGTAAGTCCCTGGCCCTCTGCTCCTGGCTGGGCTTTCTCACAAGCTTGTCTATCTGTCTGCCACACTAAACGGGTCTGTGCCTGCAGTGACAAGAAGATGCCTGTAACTTTGTTGCACTAGGGCCTTTCCCCATTCTGCTCTGTGCCCGACCATGCCACTGTTTACACTTTCTTGCAGAGGAGATTTCTGACCTCACAGAGCAGATTGCTGAGGGAGGAAAAGCAATTCATGAGCTGGAGAAAGTCAAGAAGCAAATCGAGCAGGAGAAATCTGAAATCCAGGCTGCTCTGGAGGAAGCTGAGGTACATGCCCATAATCACTGATGTTTACACTAAAGACATGAGCAACGAGGAAATACAGCTAAAAAATACTTGGTCCCCCTCTGTTCTGACTGGAGAGTGCAATCAGCTGAGATTTCCTGAAATGTTCTGTAATTACCTAGAAAACAATCAGTGATATATTGATGTTACTAATGTTTGTGTTCATTTGTCCAGGCCTCCCTAGAACATGAAGAGGGGAAGATCCTGCGCCTCCAACTTGAGCTCAACCAGGTGAAGTCCGAGATTGACAGGAAGATAGCAGAGAAAGATGAGGAGATCGACCAGATGAAAAGAAACCACCTGCGAGTCGTGGAGTCCATGCAGAGTACCCTGGATGCTGAGATCAGGAGTAGGAATGAAGCCCTGCGGCTGAAGAAGAAGATGGAGGGGGACCTGAATGAAATGGAAATCCAGCTGAGCCATGCCAACCGTGTGGCTGCAGAGGCACAAAAGAACCTGAGAAACACACAGGCAGTGCTCAAGGTATGTTAAGCTAAGGATGTGCACATAGGTGTCTTGTTTATCTAATATCATAGCATCATTGAATCATAAAATGGTTTGGGTTGAAAGGCACCTTCAAAGATCTTCTAGTCCAGCCTATCTGCTGTGGGCAAGGACATCTTTTATCAGACCGGACTGCTCAAAGCCCCGTGCAGCCTGAACTTGAACACTTCCAATGATGGAGCATTCACAACCTCCTGTCACTGGATACTTCGGAGAAGAGATCAGCACTTCCTTCTCTACTTCCCCTCCTCAGAAAGCTGTAGAGAGCAATGAGGTCGCCCCTTCTCTCTAAACTAGACAAATCCCATGTCCCCAGCCACTCCTCAGAGAACATGTCTTCCAGCCCTTTCACCAGTTTTGTGGCCCTTCTCTGCATGCATTCAAGTCCCTTAACATCCTTTTTAAATTGTGGGTCCCAGAACTGTACACAATACCCATGGTAAGGCCACACCAAAGCTTAATACAACAGGAATTTGGCTCTGGCTCTGCCTTAGCTTTCCTGATCCTATCCCTACATATCTGGGCAGCATCCTTGTATTCTTCCCAGGATATACGTCTTTGATTCCACCGCTTATGCATTTCCTTCTTACACTTACAGAAGGTCCTTACTCAGCCATGCTGTTCTCCTGCCTTCCATGCCTGATTGCTTACACATGGGAACTGAGAGCTCTTGCACTCTAAGGAAAATGTTCTCTAAAGAGCTGTCAACTCTTTTCTGCTCCCTGAGGCAGTTTCCCAGGGGGTTCCACCCAGTAATTCCATAAACAACTGAAAGTCTGCTCTCCTAAAATTCAAGGTCTTGACCTTACTCTTTGTCTGGCCCATATCCCTCAAGACTGTGAATATCACCAGGGCATGATCACTGCAGCCCAGGCTGCCACCAGTTTTGTCATCTCTAATTAGTTCATCTGTGCTGTTAAGCAACAGGTCCAGTAAAATTTCTCCTCTTGTTGGGCTGTCTATCTTCTGGATGAATATATTATCCTTCATGCAATCCATGAGTCTCCTGGACTGTTTACAACTTTCTGTGCTGCTGTTCCAGCAGATATCAGGGTGATTGAAGTCCCCCAGCAGGTTCATAGCCTGCAAGCGTGATGCTTTCCATAGTTGAAGTAATAACAATTTGTCAACAGACTCCCCTTGGTCAGGTGACCCATAGTAAACACCAGTCATGAGGTTTCCTTTGTTGGCTTGGCCTCTAATTTTTACTCATAGTCTCTCAACCTGGCTCATCACTGTTTTTTCAAAGACAACTCTGTGCAATCAATCCTTTTTATACATGGAGGGTAGCCTATCCACCTCTTCTTCCTTGTCTGTCCCTTCCGAACAGTTTATAGCCATTGATTACAACACTCCAATTGTGTGATTCATCCCACCAAGTTTCAGTGACAGCAATTAGATCATAGCTTTCTAGCTGCACAGGGGCTTCCAACTCCTCCTGTTCGTTACACATGCTATGTGCATTGGTATAGAGACACTTCAGTTGGGCTATCGACCATATCACCTTTTCACAGGAACAAATCCTAATTCCTTTGGAGTATTTCACAGGTGTTTCCCTGTTGCTTCCTAATACATCAGTGTCACTGTTTAAGGCTGGGTCGTCTCCTAAAACGGGTGGCAGATGCTTTCTGTTGACCCCTTCCCTCCACCCGGGAGGGGAAAGGACAGAGAAAAGGGAGAAAGACTTATGGAATGGAAATTAAAACTACTTTAATAATACAATAATAATGGAAAATAGTATAATGTATTAATATTAATGATACTAATAATAGAAATAATAGGAAAAGTACACAAAACCAATACTGAGTGTCCCGATGACAGTCGGAGGATTGCAGGTCGCAGGCTGCAGCCCCCAGGGGCGTGCATCACTGCCACAGCAGGGTGGGCACCCCGGACGTCCCGGACTGGACTCCGCAGCCAACAGGAACCGGATTCAGGAATGCACGGATCAGGGACGGAGGCAGGGTCCCACAGGGATGCCGGCCACGAAAGAAGACAGCGAGACCCTTGCAATCCCTTAGCTTTATACTGAGGATGATGTGGATGGGATGGAATACCTCGTTGGTCAGTTTTTGGTCACCTGTCCAGTCTGCACTCTTCCGCAGGTGTGACCCTATTACGACTTTTTACTTGCTTAACAAAATAAGGTCAGCAGTGGCCTTGGTTCTCATAGGGATAAGTATGAAAATGGGCCTCTCTGCATACCAGTCCTGTTGATATTTCAGTAGCAACTATAAACATCGAGCGTTATCAGGCCTGAAACACAGACACTGTCTGAAAAAACATGTAGCTGTACTTTCAGAAAGTGCAGTTACTTAGAAGAAACAACTGAAAGAAAAACTCCTGAAAGGAGAAAACAGTCCTGTTTAGCCAAACCAGGACAATCAGCAGCCCCTGGCTCTTCTATGTTACTCAAAACTCCGTTCCCTTCCTCTGCTAAGACTGGTTTAAATCTCAGGTCAGTTTGTTGGCAAAGACCCACTTGTCTCACTTGGTCAGGTGAATCCCATCAGCTCCCAATAGACTAAGCTTCTCAAAGGTACATCCATCATCATAGAAGCCAAAACCTTGAATATGGCATCAGATAGACAGCCAGGCATTCACCTGTTCAATATTTCTCCTTCCTGAACCCATTCCTCTGAATGGGAGGACAGAGGAGAACACCACCTGTGCTCCAAATCCTTTTAACATTGCTCTGAGGGACAGATAGTCTCTCTTGATGGTTATGAGTTGCCTTGTTGCAGTATCATTAAAGCCTATATGGAATAGCAGGAGCAGATTATAGTCTGAATGCTTCACCACGTTTGGCAGCCTCTCAGTGACATCACAAATATGAGCTCCTTGTAGACAACAAACTTCTCTAGAGAAATTGTCTGGATGGTAAATTTGGTAGTCTACAACTACTAATACCTTCTGTGCTTTTCTGGCGCCACTGGTTCTAATGTGAGTGGGTGCTTGGATCAACTTTACGTGGTTGACTTTTCCTGAATCCT